ATATTATTGGGTAAGACCACTATTATCTTTTTGTAAAACAAAAGAATTATAGATATTTAAGAAGTTAAAGGTTATTTTCAGGCACAGTAAATCTCCAAAGTCCAATGATTGAAATTCCTTTGTTAGAGAATACATTAGCAAGACAAGTTTATGATGTATAATATTAACTTGTTTTATGTTGCAGCTTTACTGGAAATGGAAACATTTTCTCTTCTTATCTGGCTGAAATTTCTTTTTTTAACAGAAAGGCCTGTTATTGGCTAGGTATACTTGTCCACCCCGCCCCCCCGCCACTGGTCATACCACTTTTATTTACATTGTATCTATGTTACATTATTTATTCAATATAGAAAAAATATTAATACATTCATAGTATTCTCATTTAATTTGGTAATTCCACATTATCAAATATTGACTATTTTCTTATTGGGTGTCCTACCCAATTAAAAGAAAGAATGGACTTAGCAAACAATTCTAATTGCATCATTATATTTATATAATAAGTATTACCTTATTTGTCTCTTTTTTAAAAACAATCTAATTTTAAAAAGACATGATTAAACTATTGCTTACTGGCTTAGGGAAATATTTTTTTAAAAAAGATTTTTTTTTTAATCTTTTCTAGTTGTCAGTGGACCTTTATTTTATTCATTTATATGTGGTGCTGAGACTTGAACCCAGTGCCTCACACATGCTAGGCAAGCACGCTACCACTAAACCACAACCCAGCCCCAAAAAAGAAATTCATTCTTTCCACAAGGAAATTTTTAAGGTAAACATCTGAAATGCCTCAGTGACCAAGGAGAATATTTTCCTTATAAATGGGTCATATTGAAAGAAAACCAAGTAGTAGACCGCACTGCACAATGGTTCTGTACATACAAAACAGAAATGGGGACTATACTGACATAATTATGCTGCCAAAAAAGTCCACGCTGAGAAGTCAGGTTTCTTTTAAAAATCCATTTTACAAATAAAATCCGTGATTAACTGTTTTAGACATAATACTTTCATTAAATGGGTCAAACTCACAAATCATTGCTAGAAAATACAGTATTTTCCATCACTTTTGGTTGTTATGTATACTATGTACAGAAAGACAATAGTTACCTTATACTAAATACAGATGAACAAATAGTGTGTTGAAAACCAGAATCAGGACACATAAATAGTGCAGAAAATGCAAACGCCAAAAACACAACACCTCCTATTATCACAGTTCTGACAGAGATTTTTTGTTATCATTCCTTCCTCCAATTACTGCCAATCCAGTGTATAATCAGTGTCCCACTGTTCCACCCACCACTACACCCTAGGGATCCTCTCTAGCTGCCAGAACAATTGTAGTGAGATGAGAGTGATCTCCCCATTCTGCTAAGGATGTTAGTATAAGAGCTTGAACAAAAATGGGTGAAATAACATGCAACGTTTTCTGAGGTATTGTTGTGCTTGTACCTGTTTCAACATCTCCTGATCCATTTAAGAGTTTGGTTCATTGAAATCCTTCATCCTTCTTCTTTAGTTCTGCAGAACTTCTTCCAGTTCCTCTTGACCTGCATCTGGGCTTATCTTTAAGCCTTCCCGAAGCATTCTAATGCCAAAAATGACAAATAATGCAGTTAAGACATAATACCTGTACACCCTGGGGATGACGGTGGTAGCATAGCCAAAGAGAACTGATAAGCAAGTCATCAGGGTCAAGCATAGCCCCAGCCAACACTGTCAATCAGTTATAGCGCATCGCCATGATGGTGGCTATGAAAAATGTCTTATCACCCAATTCAGACATAGTGATGACTGATATGGCAGCAACAAATGCATAAATAAATCCCAAATTATTTTGGGTAGCTGACTCTTCATTATTTGTATGAACTGGGGCTGCTGGAGTACATCCTTTCTTGGCCCCTGCACACTAGCAGGCTGTGGCTTCAGTTGCTGGGCAGCTAACAGCGGTTCCTTGTTCTGGTGGCTAAGGTCTTTGTCTGGTCCAGCGCAGACCCTGACTTCGAACAACAGCAAAGGACCCAGCAGGAGCAGAAGTAGCCAGGCGCCATCCCACCTAGCCAGCCGCCCACATACCTATACCTTTTTTTTTTTTTCCAAAGCAAAAAATTTCATTAGTAAACACCAACTAAAAATGATGTATTATGGAATAATATAATAGTACAATGACGTACGGAATGTTGGGTACTCAACTGACAACCTTCAATTTTATCATGTTACAGTAAAAAGACTCTATTATCATTACTTTATAAAATAAATAATGCAAAAAATCATGATGTACATAAACTCAAGGACAGTCCTTTTCAAGAAAGGCTATATGGATAGTTTTGCTGGTCATTATCCATATTTTACTCATTTTTGTATAGATAAATAAAAATTTTGTCAAAGATTAGCATAAATCTGTTGACCAGAATTTGGAAACCACTATTTTAGAATTTCAAAATACTTAACCTTAAATCTCAGATTTAAAGGAGTTTATAAATTGTAATACCAGCTGGTTTAGGTTTATTGGTTGTCCCGACTGTGCCCCTTAGCCCTTACCCTTCCATCTGCATGTCTCCTGCTGTGGCCCAGGCTCTTGTCAGCTTACTAGCTCTTGCCCCATCTTTTCAGTAGCCTCCTAACCACCTTTTCTTCTTCACCACCACGACAGTGATCTTCTAATGCAAGAATTTTGACACTCTCCATTGCTATAAATTACTGAATTGATACACAAAGTGATACCAAGAAGGAAAGACTTTATCACTAGTCACATTCTACTAATGCTCAGAAGGCAGGTTGACTAGAATAACAGATTTTTTCAAAGCTGGCTCCCAGGAAGATAGAAGAGACATTTTCTATCTCAAATCTCCATCTTCAAGTGTTCAGGGGCATAGTAGGTTTTATGAGAGTAGAGGGGGCACAATGGGACAAAAAGCAGGGAATAAACATATATAGATTTAGCTATGTTGTGGTAATCAGAAACATGTCACAATATGTTTCCCCAGTGCCCATCTGGGCCATGGGGCAGCCCCTCAGCTTCCATCCTTGGTATGAGAAGTTCAGGAGCTAAAACAATTCTAAGCTTGCATTTATTTATATAGATACTAGAGATTGAACCCAGGGGCACTTTACCACTGAGTTACATCTCCAGTCCTTGTTTTTTTATTTTGAGACAGGGTCTTGCTAAGTTGCTGAGGCTGGCCTCAAACTTGTGATCCTCCTGCCCTCAGCCTCCTGAATCTGATATTATAGGCATGTACCACCACACTTGGCCAATTCTGAGCTTTTGATTTCAGCCAAATTTTAAAAATTGTGGGCTGTTTCAAAAGTATTTCACAGTCTGGCCTCACCAGACGATAAACCACTTCCTATGATCCTGTACTCTATACTCTGTTAAATGGCTTAAGTAAGCAGAAGTTTATTTCTCTTCATGTAAAAGAAGTCTGGAGGAAGGTACTCTAAATATAGTATAGTGGTAGCATAGTGTTTTCAGGGACTGACTCCTTTCGTCCTTCTGTTTCACCATCCTAGCTCACAGTGTTTTCCCTGAAGTTTTCTTTGTGATCCAAGATGGGTGATAGAGCTTCAAACATGACATAGCAGAAAAGAAAACGTGCAAAAGGGTACCTTTTTTTAGCCATGCCAGTTCCCTTTATGCATCCTTTCCAGAGTCCCACATAATAATTCTGCTGTATCTGACTGCATCTAGCTGCGAGGTACCTGGGAAGTGTAGTCTTTGAGGGTATATTGCCTGCTTGAATTAAATTAGGATTAATTAGATTTTACCAGGAAAAGAAGGGAAAAAATGGATATTGAAGGGTATGTAGATCCTCTGCACATGTATGTAGTTTTTATGAAATTACACATTTTATGAAATTAATGTACACATCTTGCAATCTTTTTTATGCTTAACATTTTATTGCACACATTTTCCATTTTCTTCAACATTAAAAACTTCATAGGGGGCTGGGATTGTGGCTCAGTGGTGGAGTGCTTGCCTAGCAAGGGCGGGACCTGGGTTCTATCCTCAGCACCACATAAAAAATAAAGGCATTGTGTTGTGTCCATCTACACCTAAAAAATAAATATTAAAAAAAAGTATTTAAAAAAGGTTTCTTGTTATTCCTTTCCGGAAAAAACATTGTTAAGCAACCCATTTTAAATCCTCTATTTTGAAACAATTGGGGCTAGTTTTGATTTGGGGCAATTATAAACGAGTCAGTGATAATTTTTTTAAACTTGGGAATGAACCCAGGGCCTTCAGCATGCTAAGCATGCACTCTGCCGCTATGTCACACCCCCAACCCCTCTGTGATTATAGTTCTTATAGTTAAATCTTATAATTCATGTCCTTAAATGATATCCCTACAAATGAAACCATTGAATCAAAGAGTATGTTATTTTAAGGTTTCTAATACATGATTCCAAAATTTCTTCCAAAAGATAGCCTTGTTGAAAAATGTTATAGGTTTCTTCTTTTTCCCATTTAAAAAGAAATACTTAGGACACAAAAAAGAATAGAGAGTAACACAGAGTATAAATTGGGTGTATTTACTATTTGGTTAAACTGAACCATTTTCAAAAATTATATTGCTCACATGCTTAAATAAATGAGTCATCACCTATTTACTGAGTGTTTGGATATGAATGGAAATTTAAATATTATTAAGATCCTTGCCTTTAATGAGCATGCATTTTTGAGCAGTGATGAGATTATTGAAATAGGCATGTTTTAAGGTACCTCTGGAAGTTTTGTTAAAAACTTAGTTTATAGCTATAGCTATTTGAATCTGAGAAGATAGCAAGCCATATTAGATAGTATGCAGTGCTCCTAAGCAGAATAGGTCTGTGGACATTATATAATCTTCCTGTTCTATGAATTAATAAATTTAAGATTAAGAATAGTCCAGGAAGGGGTTCCCCAGAGCAAGGGGTTGAACTAAAAGACATGTGACTTATTGTGAGAAATGTTTATATTGTACATAACTAATATTTGTTTTTTCCCCTATTCCCAGATTTGGCATAAGAGGAAAGAAGTTACATTTTTCACCTTCTTATGCTCAAAAAGTATCTTCCATTGCCAGATCCCCTGGTTTGTGTGCTGTGGAAAGAGAAGAAGACTGTACAATCTTCTCAGAAGGAATAATTGAGGAATACCTAGCTTTCGACCATACAGATATGTGAGTTTTGTTTAAGCTATTTTTTTTAAATATTTTTTTTTTAGTTGTAGATGGACACAATGTCTCCATTTTTATTTGTTTATTTTTATGTGGTGCTGGGGACCAAACCAGGGGCTCACGCATGCGAGGCAAGCGCTCTATCTCTGAGCTACAACCCCAGCCCTTGTTTAAGCTTCTTTACTCCCCTTCTAGTTTGTGTATTAGTATCTATTTGTTCTAAACTGAGAATAACAATATTACCTATAATTAGCTCTATATGTGTATGTGGTTTGTTAGTTAGCTCAAGTATCCAGACTTCATGTTCTTAGCTATTGCTTCCACATACTAGGCTTCCTTGGTATTTTCTTCCTTCACACATCATTACCTTTTCCTGCGATCAGAGACCTTATTTTTTAATTTATTTTATTATGTTGCATTACTGATGATTGAAACCAGAGCTTTACACATGCTTTTTGTGTTAGTGAGCTTAAAGGAGGAAAGATTTATTTTGGCTCATGGTTTCAGAGATCTTAGCTCATGATTGGCGAGTTCCATTGCTTTGGGCTTGAGGCAAAGCAGAACATCATAGCAGAAGGACAGCAGAGGAACGCTGTTCAGCTCATGGCAGCCAGGAAACAGAGAAGAAAAGACCAGCAATGAGACACAGTCCCCCAAGAGCACATCCCCAGCAACCTAATTCACCCAACCACGCCCACCACTAGTCCCTTCAGCTATCAGTGGATTAATCCATTGATGAGAGCTGAACCTTCATGATCTAATCACTTCCCAAAAGCCATACCTCTAAATTTTGCTGCTTGGGGGACCATTCCTTAAACACCTGAGACTTTGGGGGACATTCCAGATTTAAACCATAACACTAGACAAGTGCTCTACCACTGAGCTACATTCCCAACTCTTTTAAAAAAATTCTTTGTTCTTTTTAGTTATACATGAGAATAGGATGTATTTTGACATATTAGATATACAGGAAATATAACTTCCCATTCTTGTGGTTGTACATGATGTGGAGTTACACTGGTCGTGAATTCATATATGAACATAGAAAATTTATGTCCAATGCATTCTATTGTCTTTCCTATTCCCACTTATTCTCCCTTCCCTTCATTCCCCTTGGTCTAATCCAATGAACTTCTGTTTTTCCCTCCTGCCCTGTTAGCATCCACATATAAGAGAACATTTGGCCTTTATTTTTTTTGATTGACTTATTTCGCTTAGCATGATAGTGTCTAGTTCTATCCACTTACTGTCAAATGTCATAATTTCATTCTTCTTTATGGCTGAGTAATATTCCATTGTATATATGTATACCACATTTTCTTTATCCATTTTCATCTGTTGAAGGTCCCAACTCTTTCTATTTTGACATAAGGTCTTGCTACATTGCCTTGGCTGGCCTCAAACTTGTGATCATTCTGCCTCTTTCTATAGTTTCCTATTTAATTTTTGAGAGTTCTGCTGCCTCAGGATAACCTCCATTGTAAAGGCCTGGAGATAGTTCTCCCAATCCCAAGCCAGTTCTAGAATTTGCTTTGCCTTCATTTATAATTTATCTCTGTGTGATAGACAAACATGTCTAATTTGGGAGACATGACTAATTGGGAATTTCTGGGTCACAAGTACAAGAGTCTCCAGAAGAGCCTTAGAGAAGCTTCTATGCATTTAGCTCCCCTCCTTTTTAGCAGAGTAATGGGGAAGGTTGGAGGTTTTACAAAAAAAAAAAAAAAAAAAAGGAAATGTAGTCTTCCCTGTTGAGAACTCCGTTAGTTCACAAGGCTGCTTTAATTCTGTGTGCTACATACACTGGGCAAGGAGGAGGGTAGGATGGTATCACCAGTCACATTCCTAAGAAGCGTAAAGGACAATGGTGGACACTCAGTGAAGAGTAATCATCAAATTTTTTCATCTTGCTTCCATTCCAGGGAAGAGGGATTTCATGAAAATAAATCAGAAGCAGCTACAAAGAAACAGAAATTAGGGTACCCTCCCATTGCTCCATTTTACTGCATAAAAGAGGACATTCTTGCTTATGTGTTTGACAACGTGTGGAGCAAAATTGTGAGCTGTTTGGCGCAATTGACACGAAGTCACTGGGAGGGATTTGCTTCTGGTAAGAATCTTTGTGAGTCTTGGTGAAAACATTGTTAAAAATAATTGTTTATGATTTCTGAAGCCTAACCAGTCCATTAGATTTATGCTTTATTGTGAAAAGGGGATGTATGAGAGGAAAACCAGTGTCTTTTCCTACTTTCAACACTGCAACAGTTATGACACCTAATATATAAAGGGTTTTCCACAAATACCCACCAGATTCTCTAGCAGATACCACCTGGGGGGATCCTATGATTCAAACCAATATTGATACTATCAACATGGAGCTAACATCAGATCCCACAGGATAAGAGGCTCAGTTCCACAAGACTGCCCCACTTCAGATCACAGTTGCAAGCCTTAGGTTGTGACCTGGGCTTCTGACCAATCAAATATAAATCAGGATTCCTGTGACACATGCCCTGATCCCCCACAGGTTTGATTAATTTGCTGGGATGGTTCACAGAACTCAGGGAACGAGTTATTTATGTTTACTAGTTTATTATAAAGAATATTACAAGGATACAGATGAATAGCCAGATGAAGAGATACACAGGGCAAAGTATGGGAGAAGGGGTGCAGAGGTCCCATGGCTTCTCTGGACACTCCACCCTCTAGGCTTCTCCACATGTTCAGCAATCTGGAAGTTCTCTGAACCAGTCCTTTTGGGTTTTTATGGGTGCTTCATTACATAGACAGGATTGAGTAATTCAGTGGCAACTGATGATCATCTCAACCTTCAGTTCCTCTGCCCTCCAGAGGTCAGAAGGATGAGGCAAGACTGAAAGTTTGAAGGCTTCTAATCACTTGGTTATTTCCCCCAGGCAGTCAGCAACACCATCCTTAGACTATCCAGGATCCAGGATATTGCTTTGGAGATGCCAAGGGTTTTAGGAGTTATGTGCCAGATCTCAGGGAAGATACCAAATATATTTTTATTATTATATAAACAATATCATAGTGGGTCTGATTCATGTTTGTATATCCCATAGAAACTAGCCAATATTTTGAAAATATTTGAGAATGGGTAGATGAACAGTAAGGATTAGTCTATAACGCTCAGACAGCTTGTTTCTCCTTGAATATAATGATTGGTGAGGAAAAACTACATGGAAGTAGCACATACTTTTTCAGACTGCATTGCCGCAGTCTGGCTGGGCACAATTCAGGAGCCACTTGTCAAAAGAAACTAACTTTATTTTTAGAACTACACACGCCAAACAAAACAGCTCCTCAGGAAAAAACCCTCAGAGCCCAACTGCCACCACCGGCTTCCCACAAGCCTCTCCCCCCAACACAAGCCTCACCACCTCCCAATATCCTCCTGCTCTTGAGGCCGATTGGCTGGGTCGTGTGGGCGGAACCAAAGAAGTCCCCCAATGAGCAGCTCCGTGGTCTGAAAGGGCAGGGAAACAGCCCAATGAACAGCACCGCAGAGGAGCCAATCATCTAGATGTTGCTGGGGCCGCTATGAGCCAATCATCAGCTGGCAG